CCACCTTGGTCTCCGTTCCAGTCTTGCTTTTCCACCATTCCTCGCTCGCCTTCTCCATGCTTGCCTAGGTTCCCTAGGAACCCCTTAATAACAAAGGGGGTTTAGGGTTTAGGGTTTAGGGTTTTTTCCTACTGTTTGGGTTTAGTAAGGAGACCCCAAAAAGAAAACGGGCAAAAGGGTACTACTGCGGAACCTAGTTGCTACCAACTTCTCGGAGAGATCAATGGCCGTCCTCATCACCTGCGAAGTGAAGAGTGCCAGCTTGTGACGAAGCATCAAAAGTGACAGGTAATGTTAATAGTTGCACACATCGTAGCCTGCGGTGATCCTGGTGTTCTGTGCTACCCAGTCTAGGAGGTGATGTCGAAACTGCTCCCACTAACTCTGCCTCGGCCTGCTTTTTTGAAACCACATGGCCTCCACAAGCTCATCGGTGTCGCCCAAGACACGAGTTGTTCTGCTGCCGACTACCTGGGACCCAAAACCAGACCCGTCCAACATCACAGCACCATCACAGCACCAACACTGGCACCCAAAGCAGTCCAGATGGATCGCACATTAGGTATCTTTGCGATCCGCATCCTACTGTTTCGTTGCTTCCGCACCCAGGCAGGCACGTGCGCTCGATGCGACAGTCAGAGTCAAACAATGCTAAAGCTCTGTGGGAAGCCGTAATTGTCGATACATGCACTTGTCACACCACGTTGCGACGTCCTCGCCGCTCACCTGCTTCCAAACCTCTTCCTGTAGAGTTGATGTGGCTTGCACTCTTGTCCATGGTGGGAAAAGTCTCGGCACGATCCGGGGCTGCTGCTCGCTGTTCGGGTGCCATCAGTGCCAATGCTGCACCTGCCAAAATGTCGAGATCTTCTGCACCATGTGCAGACACAAGCATCTTCTGCACCGGCTGGCAACAGTGGTTTTTCTGCAAAACAAGCCTTCGCCTCCTAGTCATCCACTGGTTGCCCCGAAAGTCTTCGCGCATCTTAGACTTGGACAAGAAACTATCTGCGAAGAGCCTGGCAGTGACAGACTGGAGTGTTCAAAGGGTACCCGATTTGTGATGAACAAACCCGGTTTTCGGCCGGGAAAGTCCAGGTTCTCAACTAATCGATTGTCTGAACAGCGGTTCCAACTTCTGCACCAATCGCTCTGCAACGAATTTATAGTGTTAGTATTCGTATTGGTAATGGCATTAGTATTCGGAGTAGCAAAAACATGACTTTAACCTACGGACCTCTTAGTCTCGGTGCCGAAAGTTGCGAAACTGCAGGCACCTAGTCTGCTGAAGTATGGTCCGAGGGTTACGGTTTAGGGTCTAGGCTACCCAACCCGAAACCCCCACCTGTGTGCATTGCTGCCGCACGCGTAGTGTTGACCTCTCTCGAAACCTTCCTCAGCTTCGGCATCGCCGGAAATCCTAGCCACAAGAGATCAATCATGCCGCATGGCAATGAATTCGATTCGGGGATTTGCAAACAATTAAGGGTCCTATTTTGGGGGATCCTTCTGCCTTATTCCCTTATTCTACGGGTTCTACTAACTTGAACTTATACTCATACTCGGTTCACACATGAATTTCTGAAGCTTCCATCCGAATCTGGGCTTGGCCTTCGCAGCATACTCACCAGCTTCATAGTCAAAACCGCAATGGATAGCCACCCGGGAGTTTCCGAAAATAGGGGGGGTACACTATTTTGGGGTCCTTGTAATAAGGATCCTACTATTTAGGGTACTATATTAGGGTCCCCCATTTTCGGAAACCCCCACCTGATGTTAGCAGTGGCTTGCGTTGGCAGCATTCACTTCCTTGAAGCCACCCCCATGCACATTGCTACGTTGACTCGGCAAGCCGCCTTACACCCAGAATACATATGTGGATTGCACTGCTTTGCCACCACAGTGCTTTTCGTACGTAAGCTTCAGAGGCGTAGGGAGCTCGGTGCTGAAGTTGACTGGCGTGTCGCAACTCACCTCAACAGAGCTCTCCGGCTTTGCCCTGCATGTCCCCATGAGCGCTGCTCTGCATGCTGAGCAACCGTGGACTGCCTGCGCTCACCTGGGTCATGCGTTCGCTCCTCGATGCTATATAAGCGATCGCCAGAGCTGAAACTGCCAAGTAGCTGCGGTGATACTGGCGATCGTAACAATAGCACGCTAGTGACGACAGTGCTGAGCGGTCTAGTGTCGTCACCTCCATGTGACCCCACGCACGAGTCTCAAGAGGAGCTCTTGCACAGATTGGACTGCTGCCAAACACCTGGGCCCTGGAGTTAGCTTGTGAGGAAGAGCACCTTGGGAAGGTAGAGTGGAGCAATGCCCAAGAAGCAGCACCCTCAAAACTTATTTGAGAGGAAGGCACGCAGGCCATGGGAACCAAAGAAATCACTGTTGGATGCTTTCTTGGTACAATGGCTCCTCTATCATGGTGGCTGACATTAGCAGAAACCTGCTTCTACCTTTCTTCGTCTGACACCAAAACAGATCAACCTTCACAATGTTCAATCGATACTCTGGACACGTAGTGAAGTCGTAAGACCTGTAAGACGCCGGGAGCAACAACCTCAACCCCGACGTCAGTTAATTCCTAGTTGCAAGAAATCTCCGCTATCACCATGATGGCGACTAGGTGCTGGTCTTCGCAGTCTCGACAAGCTAGAACGTCAATGACTTGGTCAACAGAGCGAGACAGAGAGTGAGAGACAGAGCGAGAAAGAGAGATTGCCTTCCACAAAAAGAGTGGCGAAGGTTCAGGGTTTTCAAGTTTTAGGAGCTCAGGTTGACGCTCTTGCGGCCAATCAACATATTGCACAGATTCTGAAAACACCGAGTGTCTAACAGTCTAAGATGTTGGCGTTCAACTCCGGCATTACCAAAACAGCGAATGGTTGTGGTCAAGGCACACGTGAACAGTCTGAGCAACTTCGCGCCACTCAGCCGGGGATAGTGGATGAACGACAAAGGAAGTGACCCATCGTAGAACAGATCGTTGGTGCAGAGCCCTCCGGTGAAAGTGTCCTGAAAAACAGTCGGAATTCAAGGTTTCGCACTTGAGGCTCTGATCCACAGGCATGTGCAAAACCACTAGTAACATCTGCAGCACAGTGTCGCCGTCCAGGTAATGGGACAGATTCATAAGATCCTCGGTGGTATTGATGTAGCAGTCATCTTTCATGAACTCGACCTCAAGTCACAACATCTGGAACAAGCTGAATGCCAAACAGTGTCACATCCTGGTGATGCGTTGCAGGAGCTATATCGCCAGGAGTATCACCAGGCTAGTACTGTTAGAGTGTTAGTATAATCACGCTCAGGAACCCGAAGGAAGCTGTTGCTAATTGTTCAGGCCCCTATTGCTGCTCTCTTCTCTGCTCATGGGACCCGAATATCTACAACCAGAAACCCCGAAGCCTAAAGGCACAAACGCCGGCAGTAGACATGTGGAACATCACCCCCAAATCCTGAAGCATGAACCCCGCAGACCCACCAAGAAAGCCCAAATGCTAAACCCTACTTGTATTGAAACCCTCTCAGCCCACATGGCTTCTCAAGAGATGCAAGCTGCCACTTCGGTTCTGAACTCTTGCTTCACGTCTTTGCGCTCCATGTCGTGCCTGCGGTTCAGAGGTTCGGGGTTTGGAGGGTTAGGTTTTTGGGTTTGACAGATTTAGGGTTTAGTGCCTGGGTTTTTGGGGCGCCGGGCCTTTAAGGGAGTTCGGGTTTGGGGTGTAGGATGGCAAGGTAGTTCTGGTTTGGGACCCTTGGCCACTTCACTCGCCGGATAGTCTAAAACTCTGCACTCCTCAACCCGTCGAAGTTCTAACCTCCCAAAGCCTAACCCTAAACTCCTGAACCTCTAATACCTAATCTTGAGTGAACTCTATCAACCTAATCTTCAACTCCAAGGAATCGCAGAGCCGAAACGGCGCTTCTCCAAAGTGTGGCCAAAGCTAGTTCTGCTCGGGATCATGGACTCGGGATTTAGGGTTTAAGGTTTAGGGCTTCCAGATCAGGGATTAGGGATTTAGGAACTTGAGGAACTTGGGTTTGGGATTGGGGTTTACGGATTGGGGCATACATTTCTGAGCCGTTAACCCTACCAGGCCGGGAAGCATGAGGTCATCCAGCGGTTTCTTCAGCGCCCCGGTGCTGTCAATCTCGAAGCCTGACACTTTACAGATTATGGGACCGTACGGGGCTGGGATTTAGATGTACAGACGCTTGAGGTTTGGGAATTTGCCAAGAAGGGTTGGGGGAGTGGTGATTACAGACCTGGCGCCATCAATGAAGAACGTTAACAGTAGCGGTAGCAGCAGTAGCAGTAGTAATCGTAGTAGTAGTAGTAGTAGTAGTAGTAGTAGTAGTAGTAGCAGTAGCAGTAGCAGTAGCAGTAGGAGTAGGAGTAGGAGTAGGAGTAGGAGAAGTAGGAGAAGTAGTAGAAGTAGTAGAAGTAGTAGAAGTAGTAGAAGTAGTAGAAGTAGTAGAAGTAGTAGAAGTAGTAGTAGTCGTCGTCGTCTTCGTCGTCGTCGTCGTCGTCGTCGTGGTCGTGGTGGTGGTGGTGGTGGTGGTAGTAGTGGTAGTAGTAGCAGCAGTAGCAGTAGCAGTAGTAGTAGTTATTGTTGTTGCTGCAGGAGCAGGAGTAGTGGTGGTAGGAGGAGGAGGTGGTGGACGAGGAGGAGGAGGAAGAGGAGAAGAAGTAGGATCAGAAGTAGGGGTAGCAGTAGCAGCAGTAGCAGCAGTAGCAGCGGGAGCAACAGAGGAGTAGCAGTAGCAGTAGCAGTAGAAGAAGGAGTAATCAAGTAATGGTCGTGGTAGTAGTTAGCTGCTGTAAAGTAGGATGCTGAGGAGCAACTACAGATTTGCTCAGGTACCGAGTAGCCACGACACTGAAATCAGCAGGGCGAGTAGATAGCAGTTACCGTCAAAACTGGGTATCTGGGCATTGAAAAACCAAAAGTCTGGTCCAAGTTGCCGTTCGTTTCCAGGTTTGGCTTGAAGTTCGAGGAATCAATATCATGGATGGTCAGCTCCTTGTCCACAAACTTCTCATTAAACCAAGCGTTGGTAAATTTGGTGTTGTCGGAGAGGCTGCCTGTCCTCGGCGGAGTTGCTTGCATGCCGCCCGCGCGCAAAACCTCCTTAGACCCCTTGCAGGTAGGCACACAGAGAGAGGGAGGGAGGGTGGGAGATGATAATCCGATAAGCACCACAGGGCACCACGACGATTGACCACTCAGACCAGGACAACAACCCTCCACCGCAACACCAGGAGACCATCAGACCCAGGAGAGTACCCCACCAGAAGAAAACACCGAAAGACCAGCAAGAGACCACCAGGAAGTTCCGGAAATCGCCGAGAGACCACCGGGAAGCCAGTGGGCGGCCAGAAGGGAAATGACCGACATGCTTGCCCCCATATGCTGGCGGTGTCAGAAGCACGGATCTTAAATGCCTTTCCCCTCCATGTACTGATCACGGAACAACATGCTTCATATGCTTCAACATGCTTCCCACACGTGCAGCAACTGCAGCAAAGCACAGCACTGCAGCAATACGCCAAGAGGCCGCCATTTCTTCAGGTACTCCGAATGGTTTTGGTAAAGGAACGCGATCCTCGCCTGCGCGTCTCCCGAGCCTGCGTCGGCGGTTTGGATGTCCCAGGAATGGGAGAGATCTGCTTCTCCAGGGACCTTCACATGCAGCTCGAGCGTCAGATCGCTCTTGTCTGGGACCTGAAAGCAGGACAAGCAGGACGCCGTGTCTGCAAAGGTGTGACAGTGAGCTGTATCTTGGGACATCAGAAATTCAACCCAATCTCGAAAGCCTGGAAGTAGGCCGCCGCAAAGCCACCCATTACACAGTCCGTGGTGTTCCCATCTTGACATGGTGGAGTCGTCTCGTCTGGCTTGCGATAATCCACTCCAGTCTTTAAGTACATCTGGATTTTCCCGCCATTCTGCACAACCTGTGCGATCGACGGACTTGCAGTGACAAAAGGTTCGCAGTTCGAAGGAATCATGCCAGCACCTCCAAACCCCCTGCAAACCCTGCAAGCAGGCTTGTCAACATCCCTTTCATTCTAACTATGTTGAAGTTCTTCAGGGGTTTTGAGGGAGGTTACCATTGCTGGAGGTCGGTGGTTCAGATATCCCAAATTTAATCCGCACCTCCTCAAACCTCTCCCAGCGCAAGGCGAGGACCAGCCGGGTCGGATTCACGCGCCCAGGCCTCCGGTTGCTGTCCCACCTGGTGCTCGGGTGGATCTCGAAAAACTGGGATGGGTGCTAAGTTAGTTCCAAGCACTTCAGGGAAAGATCTCCACGTTAGCACCTCTCCTTTATCCCTTCACTGCTACTTTGAAACCGACTCTTCTGATTGCTTTTCTCGCTCAGCGGCGGCAGAGGCAC